CTCTCTCGTCTGCAACGCACTTTGGTTCACCAGCCTCGCACTAAGCTTGTCGAGCGCATTCATCGCGATGCGGGTCAAGCATTGGGTGCAACACTTTCCCCACCGCACGGCCATGTTTCCCACCGTCTTCACCCAGTCGTGCATGTGCATGTACCTTCACGGCGGTTCGCGACGCTTCAATGCCAAGGTCCCTCTCCTTCTCCTGCACGCGGCACTGGTCCTATTCTTTATGGGTCTGTTGGCGTTTCTTGTGCCCGTTGACGCTATCGTCATGAGCATATTTGCTGCTATCCTCTTCTTCACTGTTGTCTATGGAATATTCACCGGATACCCATCCTTGCTTGGGATCGTTTACGCTAATCCGTTCGGTCCTTGCCTCTACTGTACTGATGTTTGACAAAGTTTAGATAAGAATAGGTTGTTATGAAGTTCTTGTCATATACATAGCTAAACTGATAAACGATTCAAGAATACGTTATTTTCTGTTCTATATCATGCTCATGTACACGAGCAGCATCTCAGCCTAGGGACTGGCGACGATATTTTGTGAACGCTGCGAGATAGTCCTCAGCCGTTTCGAGCGCAAGCTCGAGCACCCGGGTCTGCGGGGTTCACGGGCCGCCCCGAGTCCCCTACTCCGCCACGTGAGCATCATGAAGCTGGATCGGGACACGATCCCATCGATCCTCGACATGCTCGACGCAGCCCAGCCCTGAAGCGATATCTTCCCACTGTGCACGATAGCTTCCCTCGGCGCCATAATACCGGTCCAGCAAGGTAGCAGTCAGCCGTCCTCCCACGACAGGACGCGCGAGACAGGCTCTGCTGGATCGAGAACCCGTTCGACAAGCGCGTGTTCTGCTTCTGGATCCGCTGCGCATAGCACAGACACTCCTGCGCCTGCACAGGCCCGAGCCCGAGGCTCGGCTCGGACAGCGCGTTGATCCGGTTAACCCACTTGCAGCTGCGTGCACCGATGTGCTCTGCGACAATGATGCGCAGGGTGAAGCCGTGCGACTTGCGAAGCGGCGTTGGTCCGGTGGGGGGCGAAGGGATCGGAAGGTGGCGATGCTCTGATAAGCGTGTGCGATGGTGGCGGAGAACAACAGTCCAGGCTAACTACGGAACAATCGGCCTATCAACAGATCCGATCAGCACAGCCACCGATCACCCTTTCTTGCCCCCCAACACATGTGCCCCCCCTCCTCGTGGCGACGTCCCGGCGCCAACCAACCCACGCGCCGCTAAATATGCGTTGTGGATGCTCTCCAAATCCGACCCCCTCTTCGGCACGAACCTCCTCAACCGCCTAGCATTGAAGAGTCCCGCCACGGCAACACCACCCATTGTTTCCAGCACATAGGAATTCAGCAGTCTCGTCTTGATTCGATATGGTGCGCCCCACGCGAACGTCAGTTTCTTGACAGCCGCCATCGTCGTTTCCAGCCTTCCCCGGTTCACCTGTACCAGCTCGCCCGGCCCGAAAATGACTTCACCCGGTTTTTTCCCTTCCAGCCTCTTGTCGAACGCTCGCTTCCGCCCCATGGCATATCGGACCCTCTCTGCGTACCCGTCGAGTCTCGTTTGCGCCACCATAGCCATGTTCAGGTCAACGTCGTCATTGGCAAGAGGTTTTTCTGCATCTGTAACCGGCACCTTCAGCGAGCCGACAACTGTCCCGAAGAGGAGCTCTTTGGGCGAGAACTTAACCGTGGGTAGTATCCTCCAGTTTAGGATGTGTACCGCCCGTTCTAACATCTCAGGCCAGTTCCGCGGGAGCTTGTCCCACGCCAGCTCATCAAATGCATCGACTCCGACATCCGGAGCACACAGCCGTGCAAGAACGAACAGGAGAAGTCGGTTGGTGCCCTCGACAAGGCCGTTGATCCATGGCGCGTACGAGGCAGTGACCCGGTGCGTAGCTCCCCATTTTGCACAGAAGTCGCGCACTGGCTGATTGTCGAAGTGCGATCCCCCGTCGGACATGAACGTATCTGAAGGGATGTAGTCACTGAAAATCCTGTGCAGTGAGTCCGTCGTCGTCTTAGCTGTGCCATGGGTTCTGAATTTGAACGCCCAGACATGTTGGGAGAATGTGTCCACGAACACCGCGACCGTGTGGAAACTGCCCTTCCCGTCCGGTAGTTTGAGATAGTCACCAACGAGGAGCTCAAACGGCTGCCGCCGGGTGATTGGCTCCAACCTGGCATGTATGTGCTTGGGACCAAACGCTTTGCACTGACCGCAGTCCATAATAGCCTCCAGGATCGATGCGTCTAGCCCTGGGCTGTGAAACCGGTCCATCAGTGCAACTTTTACTGCGTCGCGCCCGAAATGGCCGTGTGCAGCGTGGACCTCTGCTGCTTTGGCAACCGCCTCATTCCGGGTGATGCATTCTCGACGTGATCTTGCCCGAACGGTGCTACCGCCCCCCAGGATCCATAGTTTGCCATCCTGGATGAAGTATCTGCTCGCCCGATGCCGCGCTCGCTTCCGTGTGCTCGATGACGCGTTGCCATCTAGCTCCAGAATCGCGTCGAGAACCTCCAGGAAGAGTGGTTCTGCGGCTAGCCTTGTCCGCAGGGCTGCCGCACCCGCAGGCAGTGCCATGACTACGGTGCCAGAAGTCTGGTCCGTATCGCCATCGACTGCGATTGTAAAGATGTCGTTAACAATGCCGGCTCGACCGTCCCAGTCTGGGCCCACCGACCACTCGCTTCCATCCCCTGCTATGCGGGCTGTGCCCTCATATTGTCGGCTGACTAAGTCCGCAGCAACGTTCGCACTTCCCTTGATGTGCTTCACCGCAACCACATTATGCCCAAATATGCCCTCCTGCCACCGCGTATGGGATGCACTCAGCTTTCCCCCAGCTAACACATCCCGGATTGCACGGCAGTCGGTCTCCACAATGACTGGGAAGCCGTATACAACGTCGTCAAAGTGGTCGAACCCAAACTTCATGGCCGCCAGCTCCAAGACATGCGGGGCATAGCGGGACTCAGTTTGCGACGTGCGCTTGGATGCAAACCCAATCGGAAACCGGCGAACGACACTCTTCCCTCCTGGAAGGGAAACCTCCATTTCTTGTGCGAGGACGCCACCGAACCCTTCTTTGCACCCATCGGTCGTGATGATGAACGGGAATCTGTGGGTACTCTCAAACCGCGGCGCTCTGAGGACCGGTTCTGATGTCAGGAGGGTCTTGAGACGTAGGAAGCAGCGTGTATGGGTGTCCGTCCACAGGTGAGCAAGTTCCTGGTTCCGCATGATCTCGCGGAATATACGCTTACTGGCCCCAGACGGAACAAGGCTTGAAAGCAGGTCACGCAGTGGTTTCTCCTCTGCAGAGTACCCCTTGATCAAGTCGCGGAAGTAGCCTGTTAACCCCAGGAACGAATGTAAGTCGGCAGCTGTCTCTGGCCTGCGCCATTGGATGATTGTTGTCAGTTTGCGCAGGTCGGGTGACACACCGCGCGGGCCTACTGTTGACCCCGCAAAGACAGCCTCTGTCATACACAGTCTTGTCTTCGATGGGGATAGGGAGAGGTCCGACTCCCGGATGCGTTGGAAGATTCTGCGCAGCCGTTGGATCATGTCGGCAAACGTGTCCGCCGCTGTGCCGCCATCATCGACAAACAACTCCATGACCATTGATGACGTTAGGTCATGCATGCGCTCAGCCACTGTGTCTCCAAATTCTGTCGGGCAATCTGTTGCTCCAAACGGCATGCGCGTATATGCGTGGTAGCCTCGGCCTGGAACGAAGATGCACAGGTACGGCTGAGCTTTCTCCTCAACCTCCAGAGCAAAAAACCCTGATGCAAAGTCAAAGGTCGAAACATAGCGGTGACCCGCCAACCGCCGCTGCTTGTCCCGGATGTCGCCCTGGGGAAACGGAACGACTTTGCACACTCTGTTGATCTCCGCAAAGTTGTGGCAGATCCGCCAGCGGACTGGCTTCTTCTGCCGTGGGGTGTCCGCTTGGTCTGGGCGAATAGGAAGCTCCTGCAGTGGAGGTAGTCCCGCCCCCACGCACTGGTCGTTCAGCTGATGCAGTAGTTCCGCCATACAGATGCCATCCGGCTGATCCTTCGGCGCCATCGTGATCGGGCTGACACACCGCACATCCTTGGCGTCGATTCGACGCAGGATTCCAGCCGCAACTAGCTCATCAACCTGCTTTGTGAGGAATTCAAGCTGCGGTGGTGACATCGGTCGCTGATTCACAGTCTTGGTGCCAAAGTCATGGCCGTCGGGGATCTTTGGTGAGTACTTCCGACCGGGCACCGCTTTCACTTCGCTGACGGCAAGCGCAAAGATGTCTGCGTACTCCCTAATCAGTGCTCGGGTGGTCTCCTTTTCTGCTTCGGATACATCCGGCCCAATCTCGACAAGTTCGATGATTCTTTGGACTCTCTCTGCCAAGAACGGGTTCGTGAGGCGTGTAAACAGGGTCTTTCTGTCTGGGCCCGCTTCCAGCACAAATGCATCAGCACTGCTCTCGGAAGTAATGGTCGGTGGGACTCGCCTCGCGGGGGTGACCGCGTACGATTCGACCCCCTCGAAGGCCACGTGCGCCTCGGACACGGGCAGGTTTGCAGAGCACCCTTCCTCCTCCTCTCGTCTCTCACGTCCTTCGCAGTTGCCATGAACGGGGTGATCAGCTATCCACCACTTTGGAAGGATTTCGAGCAAGACTCGCCTCGCGGGGGAGATTGCGGACAATTCACCCCCCGTTACAGCTAGCCGCGGTACTCTGGGCTCCCTCTCCCCTTTCCTCCATGTACGATCTTCCTCAGCCTTGGGAACGTCTTCCGGTTTGGTATTGGCATTCTCTTCACTGTCTGTATCTTCGGTCATGTATTCGTCCTCGCAATCAGGGTCAGGAATTGTGTACTCCGGGATCGCCAACAGTTTGACTCGCCTCGCGGGGGAGATTGCGGACAATTCATCCCCCGTTGCGGCCACGTGGGGCTCTCCCAAACTCACTCCTCCCTTCATCCATTTACCCCCTGCCTTCGTTCCTGCAACTTGTGCGGCTCTGATACCGGCGCCTCCGTCTCCGTCCTCGTGAGGGTCGTCAGCTGCGCTCGAACATTTTGAGCAAGCGGGCTGAACTCCCCTCGCGGGGTGGTTGCACACAACTCCACCCCCTCTGGGTTTCCATGCGGCGTTGTCCGGGGTCCTCTGCATCGCGTGGTGCCCTCTGTCGGGTCGTCCTCTTCTTGCCGGTTGTCAAGGTTTGTGTCGCACGATCCTGTCATGTCTGCATCAACTAGTTGGGGGTTCAGCACGGGGTCCACTCGCCTCGGGGGGGAGGTTGCGGACAACTCATCCCCCACAGAGGCTTCTCGCCTTAACCCCCAGTGTCCTCCTTTTGGTGTGCCTAGCGCAGATCGACGCTCACTCGATTCGTTGTACAGGAGCATTCTGCTCGCTCCATCGGATACCATGACAGTGTCGTCCCGAAAGTCTTGAACCGCTCTCAGCGCCCGTAGAATGGGTTTCCCCAGCAGGATGGTCCAGGCCCCTCCCGAGTCGATCACTTCGAACTCTGCTCGGACTCTGACGCCGCCCACGTCAACGGTCCCTTCCCAGTGAGCCGACGATGGTATCAGTGTGCCGTTCGCCATCTTCAGCCGCTTCTGCGGCTTCGACACGTTGCCCAGCCTGTGCTTCCGTGCCGCGAACCACGTGCTATCCAGCACTCCTGATCCAGCTGCTCCATCGAAGAGTGCCACGCCGCGTACACGCTCGCCATTAGGGCCTTCCATAGATATCGTGTGTTTGAACAGGGGGTGGATGTTCTCAGGCTCGCCCACAGTATACATGTCGACAGTTTCAAGTTCAAGAGAGTTCAATACATCAGTGTCGACAGTATGCTGGAAGCCCTCCGGCGCATCCAATTGGCCGGAGTATGGGGCTAACGCAACGCCTACTGCGTCAGCCCCGCCCGAAAATCCTGGAGATCTTCCTCGGTAGGCGCTCCAATTGACGTCCAATCGACCACGTTCACTGGTACCGTGGCTGGGGCTGCACGCGTCTGACCAAGCCACGTGTGGCAGAGGTACCTGAAGCGGCGCTCGTCCCCTGGAACAAACGGCGCCGTACACTCCCCACTCCCATGGCGCGGGTATCCGCACTTCCAGCATTCGCGGCTGCACGGCGCCTGCGTGCCCGGCGCGAGCGGGTACCCGGTTTCCCATAGGCGTTGTGTGCCGGCTAAGCGTGCAGCATCATGCTGAGTCGCCCATGCAGCCCGCTGCTGATTGTACGTAGTGCGCCCTTGCGGGGTGTCCGGCTGCGCTAGCGATATACACTTCTCGCGGGCAGCCCTGATCTGCATGACTTCGTCTGCTGTTGGGGTATAGTCCCTTTCGAACTGGGCTTGGCGGGGTCGATCTTGTTGGGTCGCGTTCTGTAGCCGACTGGTCGCTGGAGGAGCTTGCGCTTGTTTGGGGGCTATAGCGGCGGCCGCGGGGGATGCAGGAGGCAACCGGAGGGCGCTGAAGCTGCGCGTCAGGTCGTTGATGTTGGCCTTGAGCAGTTGTTGTTCGCGCAAGGTGTTCGCGGTAGCACGGTGTCCTTCGGCAAGTTCGTGGATGTCCGAGTTAGCGATCGCCCGGATTCGTGCGGCCACGTCTGCCCAGCTAGCGGGATCCGGCTTGAGGGCCTTTACAATGATGCTCGGCTGGTTCTCCTTCCACAGCGGATACCCAGCCAACGTGTCTTTGACCCGCGCCTGAATGGCCAAGTCCTCCACCTGATTCGCAAAGTCCTCCTGGACGTATACCTCGACCTCTCCTCTCCTCACCGTCTCCGCGGCAAGCTCCGCCACCGTGATCCTCGTCTTCAGGAGCTCGGCCTCGTAGGAAGCGGCGGTGCGCCGAATCGGCTTGAGTCCCGGGAAGGTGGCCTTGAGTTCGTCCAGGTACGCATCAAGGGACGCGCGCGCCGGTGATGTTGCCGTCAGGCCCAACATGTAGTCCTCTGCCGGGCTGTCAGGTTTCAAATGGTAGTTTACTGCACGTATCTGCTCCTCCGTCGTCGCATACTGGCGGTCTGTAACAGCTTGCCGTACGGCACGGACCCAGTCGGCCGTGAGCATGTTGGTACCATCTCGGCGGCCGGAGAACGGGGTGATTTCGATCGTTGGCATGGGTGGAACTGGGGGTGGTCTTGGAATCGGTTGAGACGTGGTAGACGCCGGTGGGGTGATCAATTGGGGCAGTTTGAAGGTCTTCGGTGGCCCGATCGGGCACGGAGTCGCGCTCAGATCCGTCAGCGGCGAGGTGGTGTAGAACGGGGACGGCTCGGATGCACTACGTTGTCGTTGTCGGGGTTGGCGACGCGTAGGCGGATACGACGCAAGGTCAATGGCACCCAGAAGACCGTGGGAACGCGTGGAGAACGGTATCTTGAGACAGTAAGCGACGTGGGCACAGGAACGTGGGCACAGAGGGCGACGTAGGCGACGTAGGCAGAGCAAAAGGAAAACTTTTTTTTCCCGCCGATCGGGGCTAGATTGCGATAATCCGTGGGCAGGCGTGAACCGCACTCCAATCACCACGATGGTCCGGTGGGGGGCGAAGGGATCGGAAGGTGGCGATGCTCTGATAAGCGTGTGCGATGGTGGCGGAGAACAACAGTCCAGGCTAACTACGGAACAATCGGCCTATCAACAGATCCGATCAGCACAGCCACCGATCACCCTTTCTTGCCCCCCAACACAGCGTGCCGTCGATCTCCCACGCCAGTAACACCTGGAACTCACAAATCTTGTAGGCATGTAAGCACGGTATTCGAAGTGCATGTCTGCGCCCACGAACCTGAGGTGCTTGCACTCGGGGAGGACGCCCTCACAGGTGATGCTGGTGGACCAAAGCGGGGGCGCGGTGCGCGCACTGAACGCCGACCAGCGCCGGAGAGGCAGCTCAGTCGTGTGTGACAGTGACCACGCCGTTATCGAGGAAGAGAACTGCGTCTGCCTAGGTGCTGCCTCGTCCGTGTGCCGCGTCAAAAGTGGCTCGTGCAACAGATGAGCTGAGAAGGAGCGCGCTAGCAACCTGCCGCTTCCCGTGTCGCTGAAGCTCGACGCGGTCAAGACGCATCGGCCAGTGTCGCAGGGACAGTGGACACCCAGGGAGCGCTTATAGACACGGCCAATGCGTGAGAGACGCGTCGAGTGGATATATGGAGCATAGCACACAGCCAGCTGGTTCGATAAGCGGAGTAGCAGGCAGCGGTTGATTCGCTTCCTATCGTGTGTCCACAAGCAGATTGCTCTCTCGGACCCGGACGCGAGCGATACCTCCTCAGCGGCCAGCGACGTGCAGGGGAATCACAGTTCAGTCCAGACAGCGTCTCCTAGAAAGACTTTTGATCCCGGTCTGATACGGCGACCGTCATCGAGACCTCGACGGAACCAGATCCAACACGTGGTCTAGGCTTGCCACTGCAGAGAGTGCAACAACACTCGAGGTCCAAAGGCAAGCCCCTGTTCCTATTGTTGCCCACGATCTCAACAGGCGCAGTCAGTGGATGATCCAGACGACTATCGATCGGCTTTCTGACCCGAATGACACCTTGAGTGGGACAAGGATGAGTGACATCTCGGGACGAGAGCGATGATGCGCTGACCAATACAGGCATGGGACCGGCGGGCCAATCCCGCTGAGAGAGCAGCCGTCGGTGCTCAATCGGCGGCTATGCAGGAGCTGGACAGCATTCTCAAGATGGACTGCGACGGCAGGTGCATGGCTCGTTCAGAGCTGGCGCGGATTGCCCACTCTTCCCGAAACCTGCCAGTCGACGTCCTACAACAACACATCGTCCCATGCCGTTCTTTCTCGAGCTGTGTCCGGGCCGAGAAGCCCGATCCTCTAATCCTTCTATCCCGCCGGTGCTCAGTCCGGCCCGCGCCCTCTAAATCTGGACGAATGAGAGAAGTCCTGTCCGACGGGACCGTGCCAGTGCGAATCTTGCGCGCAATCACTGCGCATCCCAGCCAAGCAGCGGCATCTGCGTCGCCCATCGTCTCCACAGACAACGAGCACATGGATCTGTGTTTCCGTAACGTTATCGTGACCGGCGCTGTCGACTTGCACGATTTGCCGAGGGTTCGTCCTGAAAGTGATGAGCATACACCCCGGCACAGCCAGCTGTTCGACCGGAGCCTGATTGTGCTCATCCTCGGCGACCTGACCTTCGACGGGTATATCTCCCAATGCTCTGGCAACCTGAGATTGTCCGCCACCAGCCCACACATTGCACGGCTCCGCGGTGTGACGCTAACCGAAACGTTCACCCGCCAGCCCACTGATGTCGTTGCTGCTGCTGAAAGTGTGTTGCCAGCGACGACACATCCTAGTCCACTGTCTCAAGAGTCGATCCACCCAATGGGGCAGGGTGCAAGTGCCGTGGCGAGCCACACTGATACAAGGACGAAGGTGGGGGGAAGAATGTGTCCGGTCGCCGCCGCCGCATGCGAAGCTTTTTCTGACGCATCTCTTGGACTTCTGGCAGGTCAAGCTGGATGCGCGTGTGCGGCGTCTCGTGGCTTTGTCAGCAATCATCGCCGATGAGGATTTGGGATGCAAAGCAGCATTGGTAAGTTTGAAAAAGCGCTGGATGCTTCTATAAGGTGAGAGGATGCGCTGTGCGCGCGTGGGGCGCCAATCGAGAAATGAGATTGGGTTCGATGACGCTCGTGTTTGAGAACGCACAATGGCGCTAGCAAGAGTGAAAGCAAGTGTCATGCGCGGGCGGAGGCGTCAAGGCAAGAAGTGAGATCAGACGCGATGAGGGGTTGTGGCTGTGTCGGCGATGATCCGCCGCTGAGACTGCACAGCATCGCCCGAAGCTCCCTACTGCAAATGGGCCCCGCTGAAAGATAGCGTCTCGAAATTGGCACACGGCGGAAAACAAGTACACAATGTCGGGGGAAAATGTTTCCAGCTCGCTGAGTACGCTTGGATGCACCCCGCGAGCGACAAATCGTACTGGAGCAGTTTGCTGGAGTCCATCCAATAACGAGCACCAGGTTGGGGGTGTTTGGGCCGTTCGGCTTCGGTCGTCAGCGTAGGCGTCTTCCCTATGTAGATACACCGCTCGTCCTATTCGCGCTGGGAGAGCTCAGCGGTGTTTTTAGAGGTCCAGCTGCGCGATTCTCCGAACAGATCAGCGCCCGTTTTGCCAGCCGCTGGGTGATCGTCACAAACTTACTTGCTCTAGAGCTGGGGCATGTTCAGGCAAGACAGGAGATCTGTACGTGTTGGAGCTGAAGAGGCAGAACAACAGACACGAAGAACCATCCACCGACGCAGGGAAAGAATCCGTCTGCAGCACCCAGAAGGGAGCAATCTCAGACAGAAACACTTGGAACTGCTTCCTCGAAGCAGAAAGCGATCGTCATCCACTGAAAAATGCCGGCGCTCAAGGGATCTTGATAGGATCATTGGATTGGTTGCAGATGGGATGTGCGAAGGATCAGACAACGTAAAGAAGTGCTGGATGTATTTATGAGAAAGACGCGCGTCTTTCCTGAGGGCACGCACTAAAATGACGATACATCGTCGGCAACCCGCGAATCGTGAATAAAGAAAGCGGGATCTTGCTGGGAATGGCGCGCATGAAGATTAAGGGGCACCATCCTCGGCCAGTGCTTGATGTCTAGGGATAGCTGCCATTCCACGAAAGGCAGCGTGTATATCGGCGGTAGACGTGTTGCCAGAGCCTGAGAATCTGATTGGCCACCAGGAAATAGCAAGCACAATCAAACCTACCTGCCTGCCAGCAATGGGCGATGGTCTCCTTCCAGGAGAGGGGGCTTCATGAACAGCCACAGTCTGGAATATATCCGGTTAGGCAAGACCGGAAACGACTCGGGGCACTGACGCAGGCAGCAGTTCTAATGCGGCAGAATTAGACAACGAATTGAAGTACCAGGAAACGACTTGCACTCTGCGCCATTTGAGTAGCAGCCTGAGGATAGCCCCGGTGCTCTCGATGCCGTATTCTCTCCAGCACACACGCCATCGCATCGTGGGCAGAGGAGGGAGGCGGTTGTTTGTCACCCAGTGCACAAAAGCATGCGATAACGTGAATCAACGCCAGGTTGTGGGCAGTACCGATGAGGAGTGGATTGACCCTCGTGTCGTCTGCCCTGGGTGGATCAGAATGCCACAGCGGCAGTAGCTCGCCGTCCAGATCAACGCTAGCTCGTGATGGAATGCCCCTTGTGTCGATTGCCTTCACGCCTCGAGTTACCGCGGCCGTAGTACATAGATTTGACGGGAGGTGAGGGCGCCGGAGACTCACGGCGCTTGCGCCAATTAGAGCCTGCACACACGGGTTGTCTCCTCGTTTAGTGCGAGACGGTCGTTCCCAAAGTCGAAGTCGATGCCTGATGCGTCGGCTGAGAATGGGTGTGCAGGATGTCGTCGTTGCTGCAGTGCTACCCGCATTCGAGATTCGTGACGAGCTTGATGGACTGTGACAGCCCGTGTCTCTTCGAATCCACTTCGATCGAAAGGTGTTTGTGAACACCCCGATTTCATTTCGATGCGGACAGCATCACTCTCAGGATGGGCGTGCGCTGCATCCATGGTGAAGAAAGGCAATCTATCTGATATTGCTCACGGCCGAGGAGACCGTTGCGCTCCTCGGCCAGATTTCGCTTCAGCTCGCGAACATGAACAACGGGACTGCAATGGCGGACGCCCTGCCTCCCGCCGCTGCGTTTTCGCCCCCGGCCTCCTCCCTTGTCTGCAACGCACTCTGGTTTATCAGTCTTGCACTCAGCTTGTCGAGCGCACTTGTTGCGACACTGGTCAAACAATGGGCGCAAGAGTACCAGCACCGGACATCGATGTTCTCGTCTCCCTCTGTCCGCGCGCGCGTGTACATGTATCTCTTCCACGGCTTACAACGCTTCAATATGCATGCCGTTGTTGGCGTTCCCCCACTTCTGCTGCACGCTTCACTAATCCTATTCTTTGCGGGCCTGGTGGCATTCCTGGTGCCCATCAACATCATCATCATGGGCATGACATCTGCTCTGCTGTTTCTGTTCGTCTCCGTCTACGGAACATTCAGTGCACTTCCGCTGTTCTTCTTTGACTGTCCGTACCAGACGCCACTCACGCGAATCCTGTGGTTGCTGAATCAGAGCTGGGGAAGTGTGCTGAGGGCCCATATTCGAAGGGCGGCGGCTGTTTGCAAGGCCGTCTTTCGAAAGAGAATCGGTGTGAAAGACCCCGAGAAAGCTGCCGAATCTCCTGTGACGAACGTCGATGCCTCTGCCAAGCCTCCTGCACCTCCCGATACCCGTCCGGAGTCGCAGAGCATGCTCGAAGCCCTGAAATCAGAAGCCCTGGATCCCGCCGTCGAGACGGAGACGCACGCACTCGCGTGGACCGTCCGCTCTCTCTCTGACGATGAGGAGCTTGAGAAACTTGTCGAGGGGCTCCCCCAGACGCTGTGGGATTTCGATCAAAACAAGCCCCGCGGCGTGTATCAGGCACTGTTCAAGACATTGTTGCAGGATCCGGAAGTCCATCTCTGCCAGCGTCTTGCCGATTTCATGGCTGGCTCCAACAGTAATCTGCTCGAGCCCAAGGACCGCGTCCGCCGCCAGCTGTCTGTGCTCCGGGCCATCTGGGCCATCTGCGCGTTCTCTCTTCACACGCAGTCGCCTCTGCAGAGTCCGATCGGAGAAGCGGACGTGGACAACGCGCTGCGCGGCTCGAAGTTCCTTGATTCGCCTGACGTGCAGAGCATGGTCCTTGACGTGTCCGCTTTGATCCGTCTCAACAAGATCGAGTCTCGGAGCCGGGACGAGGCCTCCACACAAGCAAGGAGCTCTGACGGAAATTTCCGTGCCGAGGCGCATGCAGACATGCAACAGACATACGCCAAGTATCTGGTGGCATTTTCCCAATGCTCTGCCAGCTTTCAACGGGATGCGACCATTTCGTTCTTTGATCCGCCACAAATGCGCTTCACGGAAGCGGACGGCTACAAAACTTTGCAAAACGCTCTCAACGAGCTGATCGAATCAGCGTTGGACAGGACAGCAGAAGAGACAACAGCGGACAACGTCGTCTTTGCTGCTCGCCAGATGATCAGCCTATTTGCCCAGACATCGGAATATCCCGATTGGTGGATATGGCCCCTTGCGCAGTTCCTTGTCCGACATCCGTCCCTCGCCGCCTCCGACCCACAATTCGACTCAATGCATCATTACACCCGATTCCTGTGCCATAAGCTATGCACCAACTTGGAGTACCACTTCGATCCCCAGGAATCTGTCGACGCCCTCCAGCTGATTTATCGGAACTTGCTTGAGTCTGATGTTCCACCAAGCGACTGGGATACGCATCTTTTGGTCCTCCGCACTCTGTGGGCTCAAGCAGTCAACCTGCTAATCCCCACTTTCCCGGAAGCAGCCAACATCCGCACGCACTGTTTGGCTGCCATCGTCCAGTGCGTCGTGCTCAAAAGTTGCAAGAAGGATGAGCCGGAATGGGAGAAATTGCCGGGCATCTTCGACGACGAGGGCTGGTTCCGCTCCGTGCTCGGCCTTGACAACAATGAACAGACGGAGCGGGCATCGGGACAGCAGACTTGCGAGTGTGTCCGTGTGGGTGTTTTTACCACTTTCTTCGAGCAGTGTGCTGCCCGGAATCCGGATCAAACGGAGCGCGACCTGGACCTCGAGACGCTCCAATTGATGGAACGCCACACAGGCACGAACCTTGATTCTGTGATCCCGACTGAACTGGAGCGTCGATTTGCCGCCGCCACCGCTGGATTCATCCGCAAATATCCAGAGAACTGTCTTGCGGATAGGAATGGACTCTGCTCGGTGCTCGACTCGGCCGTCGATGACGGGCTGTTCAAGAACGGGTTTATCACCGATGTGGATGCATTGCGCGTCGTGGACACGGCTCTGTCAGAGACGGAAGATCAGCAGAAATCCCACCGGGACCGTGCTCACACGCTCCGGAAACGGATGCAGGACCGGCTCCGTTCCGCGCACATTCCTGCCGAGCCCGACCCGCTCGTGAGTGAGGAAGCTTGGGAGGAACATCGCAAAGGGTGTCATTTTCCATTGATGTAGCCTACAGTCCATGTTAATGTTACCGGCGACTTGAAGTCCAAGTCGGGCCAAGTCTGGTCACCTGGCTCGGCTTGAACTCGCGACTTGACCCGACTTGGAGTGCGACTCAGACTTCAAGTCGCACTTGAGTCAACTTGACCAGTCTATTTTTTGTTTGGACTCAGTATGTTTACTGTAGTTAGGTTCGGATCAAGCCTGACCATCATTATTTGTACTGATCATCGTGATGATGATCACTAGAAAGCGTCGGCTCTGCCGACAGAATGCCTTGCTACTCAACACAAAGATTGCAAAAATATCAACAAAGACATTGGTCATAATTAAGCCCCAGCAGCCCTCGTCCTTTTCTTCTTTGGGCTATCATCCATATCAGGTGCAGCTGGCCAACACTTCTTTGGGCTGGGCGGCAGTGCAATCTGAGACTTGATGACATATATCTTGACAATGTCTGCAACAAACATGTCCTCTTTCTGGCTTGTGAATGAGTAGTGGGTCATAGTGAAAGTGACTGCAACAGAAGCACTGGGGAGCTTTTTCATGTAATCCTATGGTGCGATGATTCTGCCATCAAAATCATACATACAAAGATGATCAACCACATATTTGCCTCGATAGAGCAAAGCCGGTCACAAATGTCAAATTCGCATGCACAGCTAACATGCAGATGTGCGTAACTGGCAAGATTGATCAGAACAGATCAGAGGCCGGATCAGGTTCATCAAATTTTTTTGATTTTACGTAATTAAGGGTCTGGAGAAGCCTTGACAAGCAAGGCAATGTTTGGGCCACAACAATTGGACAGGCTTGAGCCAAACTGTCGAAAAACAAGGACCTGGATAATCGACCTAGCGGACACAAACACGCTCCGATTGCCCAACACATCAGACCGAAGTCAAAGTATTTAAGTACCTGCACCACCCTGTACACTCTGGTCTGCTCTAAATCTTTTCAAGTGTCAATAAATGAGCAGTAAGTTGTGCTTTGTACCTCAGGAAGGAAGTTCCTGAACAGGGACATTTCTTGACCGAAAATGGTGATGTTGGGTTCTAGAAGCAAGGGAACATGTCTGGGACTCCATCTGCCAGCTCCGCACTTCATCTGGAATGCGAACACAGGGAATGTAACCGTCTTATCGATCCCTAATGCATATGGTCACACATGTGACATTGGTGACCGTCAGTGAGTGTTGTATTTCTGCGTGTGAATCCTGCTCCTTACCCAATTTAACTGCATGAATTTCCTTTGATGTGCATTTGTAAGGGATCAAGTCTCTAAAAACACAGATTAATGGTTTTCCGATGAGAAATTGTGGGACCAACAATTTAGCCAAGGCTGAAATCAAGCACAATTCCAGAGAGCATCCCGCATCTTATGCTCATTTCTGACCTGACAAAACAATGGCCAAACATCCTCTTAAGACACATATTTGAAAAATTACTGGGGTAACAGAGTTGAATGAAGAGCAAATGCAAGTTTCATGGGTCCCCTTATTTTGACAGTCTGTCCCAAGCCTGTCTCTGACAAGGCCAGCTCACCGGCCCAGAGCAGGCTTGCTCCAAACCTATACTGTAGTATGGAGGCCCGCAACAGCATGCTGATATGCGAGGACTTCTCCCTTGTAAGCGGCGAGTTCAATCATTGATCGGTGATCTATTGAGCAATGAGTTTCATCACATGTTCATGAATCAGGACCCCATGCACCAGGCCTTATGAAGTCGTTTTCCAGAACTAGCTTAGAGACTATGTAGGTAGATACAACCTGGTAAAATAGTGTCGCAGACAATACCGTGCAGTGGAGATATGACCAGTAGCAATCACCTATAAGACAGAGTCTCAGCAAGTGTAGAGACACAGGAGCTATATCATTAGCTGTACCTATAAGACAGAGTCTATGGTACAAGTCATAAGTAAGGTCATTAGATTGTAAGAGAGAATGCATACCTCAGCGAGTGTAGAGACACAGGAGCTGAGGATATGGAGCGTATGGTACTAGGTTTATATATCAGTCTGGAGCAGATATCATGATGTCATAGTGGAGTAGTGATATCATAGATGAGTAATAGATGACGCAATAATGAGGTCAGGTATGAGGTCATTGTGGAGCAAGCCAAAGTAATCTAAAGATACTACATATGATGTCATGTCTACATACTGTGATAGTTGCTAATACAAACAAGCTTCAACACTCCCACTCGACTAAACAGTCGGATCACAAAGACCCAAAGACAGCCAATGTTGTTGGAACTTCACCCATGCCAAAGACTTTGTGAGCGTGTCAGAGATCATCGCATCAGTCGGCACATGGTAAAGTTGGACATTGCCAGCTTCGACGGATTCTCGTACGAAGTGATAGCGGATGTCAATGTGCTTCGTCCTCCTATCATGAACTGGATTTACTGCCATAAAGATAGCGCCTTGGTTATCAACACAAAGAGGTGTGGATGGCAAGTCATATCTGAGCTCAGTCAACAAAGTGCGGATCCAGGCAATCTGGCGTGTAGCATCGCTCAGAGCCATGTATTCGGCCTCTGTTGAGGACAAAGCGACTGTGGGTTGGCGTCTAGAAACCCAGGTCACTGCACAACCAGCGATGAAAAAGGAATATCCCATGGTGGAATGCCTGTCATCTTTGTTCTCCGCCCAATCAGCATCAGAATAACCGATAAGGCCTGCGCCAGTGGAACCATCATAGCAAAGTTGGTAGTGCTTGGTGCCCTGAAGGTACCAGAGTATGTATTTTGCCATGTTCCAATGATGTTCTGACGGGTTGCTGTTGAACTTTGAAAGACGGTGATAGGCTGGCTACCAGACACGCTCTGCACCAGCTCTGTAAGGGCGTATTTTTGCGCTTTTTACAGAGTTTACTCTTGAACCACTCGGTGTATCGTGTCGCGGTTGACAGTGTTACGTTCAGTAGGGCATAAGGGTCTACTGCCCAGTCGACGACTGAGGATAGTGTCGACGATAGCAAGGCAGTCAGACCACTACTGTGGAATTGGTCTTATGAGTCTATACCAGGCTCAGGGCTATTAGTGACGAACGCTTGGACCGCGACAATTCCCCAAAAGGGATCTTTCGTTGCGGCGACTTCTCAAAAGGGTCATTCTCTGCAGATGGGAACTTGGGCTGAAGGGCTGAGCAATGTGCAATGTTCTCAATAATGCAACTACTACTGGACAGGACTTGGCGTTACGAGATTGAACCAATCTTGTCGCGGCAACTCCCGGTTTTGAGTTGGGTGTTTCCTCAGATCGTGCCACGACGACGACTTGTCACATGTCAGGATCCATTTGATCACGGGACACTGTGGATGCGTTGCGGTAACACTTCCAAGTGTCACTGTCATAGTTCGACCACTTTTTCATCTTATCATCGACGATCTTATCTTATCTTGGCACGACTTATCTTATCACGGATCACGGCATCAGACGGTCCGGGCTAGGGGTTCCAGGGGTTATCTCTATCGATTCGAGGCTGCGCGACATATGCTCCGGAAGGTTCTAGTACAACCCATGACCAGCGTTCCATGCGGTACATAGTCTTATGACTCATTAGTTGTAGATATGACTCAGACTGGATTTGGGTATAAATACTGTAGCTACCTGGTTGTATTCTCCAGTCTTCGAATTCACTTCTCTTTTCGACTTCATTTTTGGGTTGATTGTCACATAATTCGAAGACTCCCCTCATACCCTCCTACCTCACACCTCTTACCCTGCATCCCGCACCGCTACGCCCGCTATATCCTCTTAACCCTTATCAACCAACTTACCCTTTTACCGAATCATCTAGTCGTCCTCCACTATCGCAGTGAAGGGTTCATATCGAGCAAACAGCACCAGGCCACGGGTAACGTTGAGCCCGACCCAAGCCTTACGGTAGCTACAAGGAGTGCTGCGGAGACCTTCGGGAAAACGCACCTCGGGATCATCGGGCACGTGAAGAGCTAGGCCCGGGATCTTTTTGCTAGCAAAAGAACCTTTCCTCGAGTGCTTGTACAGCACACGAATCCACCATTTCGTACCGATTCCCATCGTCATCTGGGAGTCCATCCCCTCCCCCCATCATACCATCGTCGCCCGATCTGGCGCACCAAAACCAACCCGGGCCCTCCAACCCCTACCTCGCCCTTCCGCCGCCTGAAGACGAGTTCCCCGACCTTGACGAGTTACCCTCCAAACAACCACCCTCGCCCCCACCTACCGCACCTGCTCCTACCATGTCAGGACATCACCGCATCACCCTTGCCGCCAATCCCCCCTACTTCGATTGGGACAAGTCCAAGTACCTGGGCTTTGTGGACGCGTGCACCACTTACATCGGTGCCTATCGGTCAGAGTTCTCGCTGGACGAGACGAAAATCCTCTTTGTCCTGTCCTACCTCCGCAATGAGAGCGGCACAAGCTGCGCCGCCTCAAGATGGGCGATGAACTGGAAGCAGCACAATTTCGAGGGCTTCCAAGGACTAAAGGCGGGAGTCACCGCGACAAGCTTCTTGGAGGAGCTTCAGAGGGCCTTTGGGGATTCTAACGCAGAGCAAGTCGCTGCCGCCCGACTCATGGCCCTTCGCCAGGGCAGACGGTCCTTTGCGGACTACATCTCCGACTTCGAAATGCTGGCTGCAGACGCGGGGTACAACGTGGTCACCTCCACCGACAGCAAGGGCGAGTACAAGAAGGGGGAACAGGACAATATCCTCATCGAGTTCCTGGAGCGCGGACTCAGCAGCGAAATTGCAAGCCGCCTCTACAACACTGGCGTCCCCCTGCCCAAGGCATATGGTGCCTTCAAGAATTGGTGTGTCAACATCGAGGCGAACGCTCTACGCGATCAGCTGCGCAAAGCATCGCATGCGCAATCCGCACCACGACCGCCTCCCCAATTCCGCCCGCAGGCAGCCCCAACGACACCTGCACCCGCCCCGGCCCGACCCGCTGCCAACGAACCAGTTCCGATGGAAATCGATCGCACCCACGCCCGCGGCCGCAATATCATCTGCTACAACTGTCAGCAGCCTGGGCACATTGCGCGGAACTGTCCGGAGCCAAGGAAGAAGCGCACATTCTTCAATCGGGCCACGATGCTGGAAGAGATCGAGAACGGGGACAAGGACAACGAGTTCCTCAAGGAGATCGCTGAGAAGCTGCGCGAGAAGGGTTTTTGAAGCGCTCCACTCCTCTAGCCAAGGAGGTGG